AGGGCACTGAATTTGGAGTGTACCAAGTTGCATCTTTTTGTAGAGTAGAAACACAAGAGCCTGGCATCTAGTTTGCAAACAGTTAAAGGAGGAAACTCCCAGATGGCAGAATGGGTTAAGTTCTGGTTCCCCTACTCCTCAGTGATCCAAGTGGTGACTTCTCCAGCAGCAACCTTGTGTCCATCTACCCAAGCCTCAGTCCTACTATTCAGCTGAGAACATTCATGCTTCTTGTCACTTATCCTTGGTCCTGTTTGGGGCATTTGCCCCAGGTTGAAAAAAAAATCCTAACTATGGCTGTGGTTACACAGAGGATTCCCATATTTGTATAGAAGGTTGATGCTTGAGGTCCTTCCAACCCAAAAGCTCTATGATTTCCCAATTAATTGCATACCAAATAGCCATAGACGTTTTAGATCATAGCCTGGCATCTTCTATGATGAGACAGGAGTGTATTCTCTCTGTCCCCTTACCCAATGTGTTATTCCAGGCAGCTGAAATGGCCCATCTTGTGAACAACTGAGTTTGTTGTCATTGACAAGGATTTACCCCAAACTGGATGCCTATCTCTTAGGGATGCTGTGGGAGAAATCCCTATTTTGATGGGAAGTTAGATAAAATAACTTCTAAATTCTCCTCCAGTGCTGGAATTGAATGATTCTAGATAGACTGTCATTTAATGAATGTTAAGGAAAGGTTTTTACTAGGCTCCACAGAACATTGTTAGAAAAAATAAAAGTTTTTCTGGGGGAAGTGGTAGTGGTGGGAAACAACAGAAAATCATAGCAGGCAAGTGAAATGACAATGAGTTTTTTGGATTATCTAGGGCAGGGGTGGGGAACCTGTGGCCTTGAGGCCACATGTGGTCCTCTAGGTGCTCAAGTGTGGCCCTTTGATTGAATCCAAATTTCATAGAACAAATCCCCTTAATAAAAGGATTTGTTCTGTAAAACTTGGACTCAGTCAAAAGGCTGAACCCAAGGACCTAGAGGGCCACATGTGGCCTCCTGAGGCCACAGGTTCCTCACCCCTAAAGGACTTCTACCTTTACTCAGTCATGGATAGTATTAAGAATTGACTGGGGGAAATAAAGGAATAAGCAAAGAAGCTGGGAGGTAAAGAAACCAGTCCTGAGGAAACCGTAGGTAACCACAGGGAAGGCTGGGTTGGCCTTGGGAAGGCCTTCCCTTGGCCACCCATTGTGGTTGGTGTTTGAACCTGATGAACTAGTGTTCATCTGCTGGGCCCCATTTAAAACAAGATATATACTCTTTCCTGATCAAGGCCTCAAGCCCCAAGGGTAACCTAATTTATAACTTGTACCAGGTGAGTTTAGGAAAAGCATGCCAACTCACTTCACTGCCAATTTTTTTATCCCAAGTTGACTCCTGGAATAGACATGTTTAATCACCAAGAAATAGACATTCAATCTGTCAGTAAGCCAACAAATATTCATTAAGTGTTTACTGTGTGCCAGGCATTGTGCTAAGTGCTAGGGATACAAAGAAAGGCAAAGAGTAGTCTCTGCCTTGAGGGAGCTCCCATTCTAATAATGTGGACATGTCAATAACCAGGCACATACAAGATCTATACAGAGTAGATAAAGTTAATCTGAAATGGGAGGCATCAACAGCTGGGGGGGGGGGCCACTGGGAAAGTTCTCCTCAAGAAAATGGGCTTTGAGCTGAGTCTTGAAGGAAGCCAAGGAAATTGCAGGGGCAGTAGGGTAGACCATTCCAGACACTGGGGATGGCCAATGCAGAGGCAAAAAGACAGGAGATGGAGTGGCATGTTCAGGGACTAGAAGTTGGCCAGTGTCACTGGATCATAGAGTATGTGGAGGAGGGAAAAGTAAAGGGCCAGATTATAAAGAGTTTTCAAAATAGAGTTGATATTTGATCCTAGAGGTAATAGTGAGTCAGGGAAGCTCATTTATATAGTTATATAGTTTATATAGGTCATTGATATAGTTATATCTTCTCTTTAGGAAAATGACCTCAGTATCTAAGGGGAGGATGGGGTTAGAGTGGGAAGACACGAGGCCAGGAGACCAGTTAGGAAGCTGTTATAATAGTTGAGGCAAGAGGTGATGAGAGTCTGGACTAGAGTTCTGGATGTATGAGTAGAGAGAAAGGGATGAATACAAGGAATGTTTGAAAGATTTGGGACAGCTGAGTGGCGCAGTGGATAGAGCACCAGCCCTGGAGTCAGGAGGACCTGAGTTCAAATGCGACCTCAGGTGCATAACACTTACTAGCCGCGTGACCCTGGACAAGTCATTTAACCCCGAGGGGGGAAAAAAAAGATTTGGCAGTAGATTGGGTATGATGTGTGGTAAGTGAGAGTGGGGAGTTTTGGATGACTGTGAGGTTAGGGGCTTGGGTGATTCAGAGGTTGGTTGTGCCCATGACAATAAGAGGAAAGTTTGGAAGAGAAGGAGAGAGTTTGGGAGGAAATATAATGTTTTCTTTTGGATGTGGTGAATCTTATATGCTTATGGGACATCCGGTTCCAGGTGTCTTTGAGGCAATTGGAGTTGCCTGACTGTAAGTAGCTCAACAGAGAGGCTGGGGCTGGGCATGCAGCTTCCAAAAAAGCTGGTAGAAGCATGGAACATTTGATCTGAAGGAGGAATGAGAGAAACTTGCTCGCCTGGTGGTTCACAACCTTTGGCAGCTCAGTGGCAAAGCAGACAGAGCTGTTTCTGGAGTCAGGAAGACCTAAGTTCAAATCCAGCCTCAGAAATTTACCAGCTGTGTGACATTGGGCAAGTCACTTAACCGCTGCCTGCCTCAGTTTCCTTAACTGTAAAATGAGGGTGATAATAGCATCTCCCAGGGTTGTTTGAGAATCAAATGAGATAATATTTGTAGAGTGCTTAGCACAGTGCCTGGCATATAGTAGGTGCTTAATAAATACTCATTTCCTTCCTTTCTTCATTCTTTCTTTCCTTCCTGTGACCTTAAAGGGAAAATTAATGAGGCATTAAGATTAATGCTTAAAAGGAAATTAAATGGGAAAGGTCTATTTTTAAGAAACAATACAGTTCACAAGTGACAATGATTTAATAAGACCCTCCCCCCCAAAAGAAAAACCTGTCCCCTTAACTCCCTTAACAGTATAGGCTGTGTACGTGTTGTGCCCCATTCTCCACTGATCTGAGGGTTTCTGAATATCTTTCCAGAGATAACCAGTGACCCTTTTTTTGGGCTGCAGCTGAAGACTGGAAACCAGCTTGAGATCTAATAGCATATGCATGAGTTCCTGAAGCTAGGGACTGTTTGCTTGTTGTCTTGTCTCCCTGGTGCCTAGCATATTGCCTTGAACAGAGCAGATAGTTAATTAATGTTCATTGAGTTGAGTCCAGAGAGAGTTATAGTGGAAAGAGAATTGGATTTGGGCTGAGAAGAACTGGGTTCCAATCCCCATTCTGCTGTTTATTCCATGTATGGCCTTGGGCAAAATTTCCAGGAACTTCCTTCCCTGGATCTCAAGTTTCCTTACTTATAAAATCAGGCAAATGGGCTGGAGGACGTCTTAGGTCCCCATCTAGCTTTAAATCCTCCGGTCCTGTCTTGATCAAGGCCATGGAACTATTTTGTGCCACTGCGGGAAAGAGGAGCAGCGTCTCCTTCCTCAGTTTCTTTTCAGTATACCGTCCATCTCCCTCCCTGCCACACATACTTTTTGGTGTTCGGAAAGGCCTTGTGGTAGACTATAAAGAGGGCAAGATTTACAAGGCACTTTATAAGGTTTGTGAAACGCTTTACAAATATCTCGTTTTATCCTCCCAACAACCCTGGGAGGTGGGTGCTATTATTATCCCCATTTTACAGAAAAGGAACCTTAGGCTAAGAAAGGTAAAGGGATTTGCCCAGAGTCACAACTAGTAAGTAAGTGTCTGAGGCTGAGATTCGAACTCAGGTCTTCCCGACTCCAGGTCTAGTCTGACCTTTATGACCTTGGACAAAGTCACATAACATCTCTGGGCCTCAGTTTCCTCATCTATAAAAAGAAACAGGTTAGATGAGGTGGGCCTCTAAGGTTCCTTCCAACAACAGATCCCAAGAATGAAGGTGGGGCAGCTTCTCTTCTATAAAATGATTCTTCTGTGGAACAATATAACAGACTGGGAACCTGTTATGCCAAGGATGGTTGGGCAGCGGGGGGTGAGGGTGGGGGGTTGTGAAGGGAGAGAAGGATGGAGGTGGGTGGATAGAGGAAGATGTGGGGAAAAGAAATTGGTATGCAGATTGGTGGTTAACTGCCAAAATTCTTCAGCCTGGGTTTGTCTCACAGAGCTCATCTCCAGCCGAGCAAATACAGTGGATAGCTGACGGGCAGACAGCAGGCATCAAACAGCCTTAAACTGCCCCAAATCTGCCGTGCTTTTGAAGCCACAGTGGGAAAAGGATGCCTGCTCAGAACAGAGGCCTTAAACTTTAATAGTTTCTTAGAGGCCTCAGGATGTCCTGATGAGGCATTAGAGGAAGTCATTCAGGAAGAAAGGGACAAATAACCCCCTCCATTTCTGGGCTGACCCCAAGGGCTGGCCGTTTGAACAGGCCGAAAGGACAAGTGTGGACCCGCAGTGATCCACGAAGCTCTCATTATCCTGCCCGCCTAGCTCTGTGTGAGAAGCCGCTGGGTTCTGACCCTTATAAATAACAGACAAGTAAATTTCTTGTTTGCTTCAGGCCAAATGTAAACCACGGATTGCTAGCCTGCATGTTGGCAAAATCATTAACTTCCTTTTTTTTTTTTCTGGAGGGTTCGAGGTTACAAATTAGGCAGCCTTTTCTCACAGGTGATGAGACATCCCGGAAGGCCCCTTCTTGTTACCTAAGGTGGCACACCCCATCCCACATGTGGGAGATTGTGCTTACAGAACATTTCAGTGGCACAGCCAGAGATGTGAACGTTGTCAAACAGAACAAAGACCCTAAACAGCCAAGCTTACTCACCTCTTCTCCCCCTTTTGTCCCCCTTTGTCTCCTTAGGGTTTGGCTTCGTCACTTTTGAGAATGAAGACGTTGTGGAGAAAGTCTGTGAAATACATTTCCATGAAATCAATAATAAGATGGTAAGTTGATGGAGAAAAAGTTGGCACACACACACACACACACACACACACACGTTCTTGCTTTGTCCCCCCACACTGCTTATCCTATGGAGGAAGAAAGGAAGAGGACTGTACTGAAAAGGCAAGGGGTTTTCTTCTCTCTCCCACTCCCCCAAATTTGGAGAGAGAAAGGAGAACAGACAGAAGGATCCTGGAGCTGTGGTATCTGAAATTGGAGATTCCTGGGAATTGGAGCTGATGGATTTTGGGCCCCCTCTGTGGTCTGTTTCAGAAGTGGAGACGTTTGAAATCTGCAGCAAGTACACCAACCAAGGCAATTTCTTTCCTTGGAATGGTACTGGATAATTAGAAGGGTGTTCCCTCTCTTCCCTTCCCCTAAAAAATTAAATAATCCCATGTTCCCTCTGATGGTCTTCTCCCTGTCCCCTCTCTGGGTTTTTTTTTTCTCCTAAGGGAAGATCTGAAGGGAGGTTTGAGTCTGGGGGGAAAGGGGGGCGGTCTGAGGGGAGGCTAAGTTTGGAGGGGGTAGAATAGAGGGGAGATCTGAGAGAAGGTTGAGTTTGAGGGGGATAGAATAGAGGGGAGAGCTGAGGAAAGGTTGAAATGAGGGGTTGAGTAGATCTGAGGGGAAGTTATGTTTGGAGGGGTGGAATAGAGGGGAGATCTGAGGAGAATGTGAGCTTCCAGGTAGAGGAGAGGAGAGATCTGAGGAGATGTTGAAATGAGGGGTTGAGTAGAGGGGAGGTTGAGTGAGAGTAGAGAGAAGGTCTAAGGAAAGGTTGGAGGTTGGAGTTCTGCAGGGAGGCTGAGTTGGGACATAGAGGAGAAAGAATAAGCCGACTTCCCAGGACAGTGACCACTAGGGGGCTTTGTAACACATACCAGATTCCACAGCTCCAAGATTCTGTTTGTTCTTTCTCTCTCCAAATTTGGGGGAGTAGAAGAGAGAAGAAAACCCCTTGCCGGGCCCAAACTGGCGACTCAGCCAGTGTTTCCCAAGCTGTCAGCAAATCCCTCCAAGCCATCACAGCTCGGTTGGCTTACACAACTCCCAGCCAAGAGAGGGGAGGGAGAGAAATATGTGTGTTTCAATCTCAGCAGTAACTTTGATATTTTCAGTTAAAATATTCCCCTTCCCTTTGTCAAAACATTCCTTGCTTCTGAAACATGTATTCAGATATGCATTGTATATTGGTCTGATATGTGTTCACTGACTTTAAATCCAATAATAGAGCTTTTAGTGTGGATAAGATCAAAGCAATCTTCTTAGCATATGCTACAGGCCTGATTCAACATTTGACTTGCTAATTTTTTCCCAGGGCACTAAAATAATATTGTTCATATTGTTCCTTGCCATAATATGCATCTAAAATGAAAATACAGTTTTCTTTGCATACTATATGTTGGGGATGTCAGCCTGGACGTTAAGGTGGTACAGGGGAGATAGATGAGCTCTTATTTCTTTGCTAATAGGATTTCTACTCCCCCTCTCTGACTCTCCTCCCCTCCATCTTCTCTCCCAACCAACCCCCAAAGGAAAAATCCATTGCCTTCCCGGGTGAAGGGACAGATACGTTCACACTTTCCTCTTTCAGCAGGTTGTCTTTCTGTCTGGTGATGTTTAAAACCTTTTAGAAAGGCTGGGAGATGAAATAAGTCTGGTCTCCAATACAGATACCCTTGTTTATCCAAGGAAGAACCATGCTCTTTGCAGGCTTCAAGTTGTCCCTGGCAAATATAGGTTAAGCATCAGGAGAATGAATAATGGCTGACACAGAGTACGGGTGGGGGTAAACTCCTATCCTCAAGGGGTTTACATTGAACACAAGGTTGTAGGTGCTCGTAGAAGTTGTCTAGTCTAACACATTCATTTTACAGTCACTCAGTCTATAGCGAGTCAGTAAACATTTACTAAGCCCCTACTATGTGCCAGGTGCCAAGGTGGCTCAGTGGATAGAATGCTGGGCCTGGAGTCAGGAAGTCCTGAGTTCAAATCCAGTCTGTCATTTACTAGCTGTGTGACCCTGAGCAAGTCACTTAACCCTGCTTGCCTCAGTTTCCTCATCTGTAAAGTGAGCTGGAGAAGGAAATAGCAAATCACTCTAGTATCCTTGCCAAGAAAATCCTCATGGACAGTATTGGCATGCTGTGGTCCACGGGGTCATGAACAGTTGGTCTGAGCAACTGAACAATAACAAAATGTGCCAGGCACTGTGCTAATGTGCTAGGGATACAAAGAAGGGCAAAAGACAGTTCCTGTTCTCAAGGAACTCACAATCTAATGATGAGGAACCTGATATCCAGACAGGAAAAGAGGCAGAACCAGGATTAGAACCCAGGTCTCCTGCTAGGCTGCTTGTTGTTGTTTGTCCTTCGTTCTTGAAGAGGACCGCCGACATCAAGAGGGTGATGTCTTGACTTGCGAGTGAACTGGATTTAAGTGAGGCTGGGCTATACAAAGCCAGCAGCCTTTCTCCTCCAGAATCATCAGAGTCCAGCGGCAAGGCATAGGTCAGGATGATGGCCCCAGATGCAGTGGAGAGCCTTGGCCTTTTTAAGCTAAGGTCTTTCCCAGGTGTTGGTTTGTCTGAGGCAACACCCATTCAGTGATTTAAAGCTAGGTAAGAATAGAGGCCAAAAAATGACCTACTTTGCCTTCACAAGACAATCAGTCAGGGAGGGGAAGAATTTGTGGCCAGAACAGAAACAATTGCTATTTACCATCACTCTGAGCCAGCAAAACCCAAACAGTCACTAAGCAGCTAGTGGCACAGTAGATGGAGCTCCTGTATCTGGAGTCAAGAAGACCTGAGTTCAGATCAGTCTCAAACACTTGCTAGCTGAGTGACTCTGCGCTTAACTTCTGTCTGCCTCAGTTTCCTCATTTTTGTTGTAAGGATGAGATGAGATGATGTTGGTAAGCACTTAGCACAATGCCTGTCACCTATTAGGTTCTGTATAAATGCCTATTCCCTTCTCTTCCCAACCCCCAATCCAGTGCTCTTTCTAACTCACCCTGCTGCTTGGAAGTCCAGTGGGGATATTCAGTTAGTCAGTGACAAAATTTCTCATGCATTTGTGTAGCTCTTTTAAAACTTGTTCTCAAATCTCTTGCCTCATTTAGTTCTTACAGTAAGCCAGTGAGATGGGTAAGGCAGGGAATTTTTTCTCTTATTCTCCCTAGTGGAGAAGCTAAGGCTCAGTAAGGTGGCAATAACTGTTTGTTTTTATATATAATGCTTAGAGGTATATGTGGCACTTTTTAATACATGATTTCATGTGTAAAATGAGCTGCCAAACAACCCTATAGTGAGGTAGACACTACAGGAATTCTGAGGTCCCCATTGATTTTGCCCATGATCACATAATAAGTGTCAGGGTCAGGGTTTGAGCCCGAGTGTTTCTTGACTGTCTGTTGTTTTGAGTCACAGAGCTAGAGTTGAGCTCCCTGCAAGACCAGCTATATTGTTGGTTGCCTAATCAGGACTGGTGCTTAATTTTAAGTGAACCATCCAACAGTAAATGGTAGGAGATCCCAGCTCCTACACATTCCATGGGCAGACCTGAAGCCAGAGGAGCTTTCCTGCCATTTTCCCATCCTTAGAGATTTAACCTCCCTCCCCAAAGTGGGAGTTCATTCTGATGGGGTTCTCACCCCTGGGATAGTCCACCTGGGGTGCCACAGTATAGGATTCTCTTTTCTTTAGTGCCATGGTTAGTCCCTTCTCTTTTAGATGAGACCCAGCATGGAGGAGGAAATGAACCCAGGCCCTGCCTGTGGGAAACAAAGCCATAAACTTAGGAAGCAGTTCTCAGAGTATAAACCAGACAAAAGAAATGAGAATGACTGAAGTTGGACACAAGGAAGGGTTCTCTGAAAGCAAAAACTTAACACATATGTGAAAGAGTTTGTGCAATCTCCT